GGGAGGTGTTTTAAGATTTGGGTTTATTTATTATCCTCTTGTCCGATTGGTAATAAAATAAAATTTGTTTTTTCCCCAAGTCGAGTCTGTTTTGCCCGTGCCAGTAATTGGTGAGTGATCTCTCTCTGTCCTTATCTCCACCCCCGAGCCTTTCATTATATTTCCCCCCCCTGCCCAGTTGAGGAGGGGAAGTGACAGAGCAGGCTTTGGTGGGCATCTGGCCTCTAGCCAGGGTCAACCCACCACACCCTACCCATTCTGTGATTTTTCTAGTGCTCTTTTTGCCACATTCAGGTGGTAGGTAGCACAGGTAAGATCCATCTGGCTTGTAGTACAATACACAGGAATGGAAATCAGATTAGCAAACTTAATCTTTGATTCTAAGCAAGTCCAAGGGCCAAAATTTGTTATCAATTATTGAACAGAAGCCAAGAGGATTATCTCTGGGTCAGTCTTGGGGAGGACTGTTTATGTTGTAGCATGTTAAAAGCAAGCATGCTGGAGGGTGAGGTGGGGAGGAAAGCACATTGTTAAACAGAGTGTATTAGAGTATTTGGGAAGGTTTTTGATGCCTCATATATATGTATATGTAGACACTAAAATTTGAACACTGCAGCATTATACCCAACACCACAGAACGTTTTTTAGTGGGCATTACTTGAATATTACAAATTAAAATGCATTACTGACTTGCCAGCTAAGAGAGAAAGGTTTTATCCACACACGTAGCTTCTGCAGTTCTTTATCTTCTTAGTTATAAAATAAGATCAGCCTAATAGAGAAGTTATGTAATTACTTACTCCTTGTAAGACTTGAAAGCTGTCATTAGTAGGTGGAGGATCCTGATCTGGGTCAACTCCAACTCTACAGAAACATGAGGGAAACAAAGCAAGTGGTGTTACTGAAGGTTGCAAATGCTGTGAGTTTGGCAGAATACATTTTAAAAGCACTTTAAGCACCCAGCAAAGCATTCAGAGAGATTGTAAGAATAGTTTGAGGAAGAGCTGTCCATTATTCTCCTGCAGTTACACAGCTGTAAACAAGATACTTTTTCACTCAAGCAGCAACTACCTGTAGATAACAACTTTAACTCCATCTCAGCATCAACTGTAACTGCTTACCTTTGTTGCCAGTTCTTTTAGGACATTGGCAAATACTATTTTTGGCTTAAAAGGTGAACTGTGGGTGACATCCTCTTGAGTGGAGAGCATCCCTCATGTCCAGCAGCAAGAAACCAGACTAAAGATAAACCCAGCCTAAATATTTGACACAGCAAAAAACTTAGCTGCCAGACAGGCCTGGGAATGGCTCAAATATATAATTTTTAAAAAGCCACACACATATAAAGTTTTAATGCACTCTGTGAGGCAAAAAAAATACCTTATAAAGACTCATAATATTAATGTGCTGAAAGTTTCATTCACCTAACACAACACAGCCACAATGGATTAACTAAAGGTTTGTCTAGTCCATCCTCCCATCTGAGTGAGGGAATGTCTATATAATGAGATGGGGGATGATTATGAATAATATGTTAATAAGAAACTGTCTACACACTTTTGCATAGTTAGCGAGCACCTTATTACCAAACCATCCTTTCACATAATGCTCCCACCCAACATGGGTATTTAATCCTTATAATTATATTCAGGTTCTTGTGGTCTGTTTTGGGGGTAGCTATTTGTTAAGATTAGATTTGTCTAGTTTTAAATCCTATTCATGCCTTAATCTCTGAGCTCTCTTGTAGAACCTAGACCTCCAATCTCAAATGTTAGGTAAGATTGTAAGTCTCAAACATGTTGTGTTTCAGTCCTACCATGTTACATAGTAAGTGTAGGAAAATGCACATAACAAAAATATGTTGTCTGAAATGGCTAACTTCTTCCTTTCCCTCTCTTGGAAGGGCCTGAGCTGTTTTAGGGTAATTTCTTTGTTACCTAGACTGTGTGACAGCTATTTCTAGACACTGTGTTTGTGCAACATCCCCAAGGATCTCTCTTCTTCCCTCATCATTTCCTTGTCCCATATACAGAGTCATCTTGACCCTTAGGCACATTTGGCCTTGGAATTCATTGGCACTGACCAGCCTTCAGATGAAAAAGCTTTGCCAGTTTAAGGGAACACTGGACAGACAGATTTGGTACTGGATTGTAACACCAGCTAAAATAAAATGCCACACACAAGAGCTCTGAAAGGTTACAAGGGCTTAGATGTTACTGCTTAGGCTGTTACTAAGCAGTGAAGACATGATAAGAAGGGTTTTCTGCAGACAAACTAGTTACCTAATGAAGCCTCATGCATAAAGCTGACAAGCAATGCCAAGAAACCCACTCAGTATGGCAATATACATAAGATTGTGCATTCCTTTATAAATACATATAAAGAAAAAAGATTTGTGGCTTTCCAAACTCCAGCTGCACAATGGGGAGGTTCAATGCACTACACACAGCAACCACGCTCAAGTTAGCCATGCAGCTGGCAATATGAACAGGGAGCTCAAGAAGCTCATTCCAGAAGATGAACATAGCTCGCATTCCCTAAATAGTTTTAACTCACTGAGCTGCCCATTCACTTCACAGTACATAAGAAAACCCAAACAATTCAAAATGTCTCAGCTTTTACTTGACTTTACAAGGTTGTGTGTCTGTGTCTGGGATTTTAACTGCCCTTAGGCAGGGGAAGGGGGCTTAGCGAAGGACCAAAGCAGGATGGCCATACTGTTCAGTGAAAAGTCATAGTACTTCATAGGCCAGGTGTTTCGGTTCACTGTTGTACTCGAGAGGAAAAGAGAGCTCAACTTTTAGAGAAAAGATTCTTGCTATAGATGTTTCTTTCAATATTGAAACAGTACACTGATACAGACTTGTCCGTTTTAAGTTTTTTTTCAAAGTTATTTTTCAGGTAAATTTACATCTCGAGTATTTCCAATTAATTATTTTCTAATAAATAACTTCTTAAAAAAAATAAATGTTTTAAAGTGTGCTCCTCAGTTCACAGATTAACAGAAAATACTATTTCTAACTCCCATGACTACTTTTTGTATCTTTCAAACAGCATACATGCTCTACTCTAGCATGAATTGTATAGGAAGCTTTATTTTTTTTGTGGCAAGTCTGCCTGTTTAAGTTTCAAGGTATGTACATCCTGGTTTCATGACAAGCAACACATTTTTGCAGGCCCTGCCCTCAAATTTCTAAGAAAGTCCCACCTTTGCCACTTGAAACAAAACAATACCAAAAACTAGTCAAGCCTCTCTCAACCTCCTTTACAGTGAAGAAAAGCACAGAAAACATTTAGTTACTTCATCTTTACTTAACTACTTCCATAATTAAAAGTACAAGTAAAGTTAATACAGACATACCTTCAACATATTTAAGTATATTTTAAAAGTTCCCCGTAATTTAAATGTACCATAAAGGCCAATATCAGTTATAATTTATTTAACTAGTTTTTAAACTAAGACAAACTGTTACTGGCAGTTATAATTTATTTAACTAGTTTTTAAATTAAGACAAACTGTTACTGGGTTGATTTACGCAGATCCCCTCTCGGAGATCAGGGCACAGAGAGGGTAGCCTTGCTAATCACTGTGGTGTTCTGCTCAGACACCCCAGCAGAAAGACAGGTGAGCAAGCTCTGGTTGAAAACAGTGTTTTGTTGAAGAGGCACAGTCTATGTGACAGGCAGTGAGGGGCACTTCGGCCGTGGGACAGCCAAGGCCAGGGCAGTGCAGATGCCAGCAAGCATCTTCCATTTTCCCCTCCACCCTTTCTGAAAGCCCAGTGCAGCGGTTGTGTGTGGATTCCCTGAGGGTGTACAGTAGCAATTCAAATTAGGAACTCTTAAAAAGCAGATGTCAGATGAAGAACATGAGCAGTCTTCCAGCTGTAACAATGCATATATACCCCAAAACTGGTGAAAAATCCATCTACTTACACCAATGGCATCAATTTGGTATTTCATAGATACCTTAATACTTCAGTATGACAGTTACTAGCACAAAGTTCAGTCATCTTTACTTCTGCCTTGGGAAGTTTACTGGAATCTGTAGACAAGAGTATGCTACAGTAAAAATTACCCCAATTTAAGTATATTTCTCCATTCCTCCTTTTTTTTTTTTTTTTTTTTTTTTAATTTTAAGGCTTAAGAGGCTTTTCATGCTGTAAAAGCTCTGTAATAGCAAAGGGACTACCATTTTGCTCCTAACGCCCCATACCAAAGCACTGCATTTCTGCGCCTGACTCCTGACCTTCTTGGTCCTTATTCTACAGCTACAACTCCAGCATCACACATAAGAGTGGTCACTCAGATTTCATCCCTCAAACACTAAGCCTATGTGTAATTCAGTAATTTAAACAGTGTGGCAGAAAATGGTTGAAAAACAAATTGTGGAACATGAAGTGGAAACTAAATGTATGGAAAGGAATGGTAAAAACAGCAGATAAAACTACTTCAAGTTCTCCACAATGACATTTTAAAATTAGTGGAACTATTTCTTCTGATACTTCAAAAACCTTTTGAAGGTTTTTGCAACACACAGATGGCAAGTTACCAAAATACCAGGCTTTATTACATTCTAGCATATGTAATTACTGTGGTAACAGCCAAGAATGACTGTAATGGCTTGTACAAAGAATCTGAGAACTATTATCTAGTGTACTGCATCTCTGGCAAATTTAGTAGCTTGCTGGGAACCTTCGAGTGTGACAGGATACATAAAAAAAAAACCAAAAACAACTTATCCTTGCCCCATCCCAAGGGGTTTTCTTTACATATGTATTCTGTATGTATTTTTATATATGTGTATATATATATATATATATTTACATACACATGCACTTACATAGAAATACATGTTCCCCCACAGATGCCAGTTAGAGATTTATTTTATCTCTCTATCCACGTACCAGTTCTAGAAACCATCAACCCGAGAAGACTAGGATTCTGGTTTATCTCCACTCTGAGTAGCATCTTCATATAAAGCAATGTGATAACCCTCACTTTTAAAAATATATCCCCAAAGAGGCTGGGCTAAATCACTTATGAAGTCCCTTCCAGCCTGAACAGTTGTACTAAATAACCCAAAGGAACGCTTAAGAATACCTGTATGATTAAGGATCATAAGATCACATCAGTGATTTCTCAGCTTTTAAGTCTTCCCAGGCCAGAGATGCTAGTTTTGCTTCATTAATTACCTATATGCAGAGTTAAAGGATGTGGTGTTTTGTGGGGGGTTTTTAGGCTAAAGACATGATGTGTGATTCACGCTCTCCCAGCTCAGAAGACTCAGAATTGAGGAACTTCTATGGCACTCTGTGCAGAAAAGGAGAAGCAGCAGCAGCATGCCATAGTACAGAAAAGGAGCACACAGTGTTATAAAGATGAAGAAAGCCAAGCACCAGGTTAATTTGGTATCAAGGAAAGCACAGTATCACCTGAAATACAGCCAGCGGCTTTCACTCATCTCTTCCACCGATGGAACATGGTCACCAACTCTGGTACAGTACAAGAATGCAATGTGAGTAACAAAATGCTTGTGAGATGGTAGCTTTAGAGAGCTTCCCTAGCAAAACAAAGCAAACCAACAAAAAAACCCCCGACCCAATGAAAAAAGACAAAGCATACAAGAATAAGAATGGCAGGACAATGGCAAAGTGACAAAAACCAAACCAAAACAAAAACCAGCAGCGCTTTATGATTGAGATGACCAGTAATATTCTGCATTCGTTCAGATTCAGACTGGTAAAACACCTGTACTCATGATAGGCTATCTCCCCCAGAAAATTAGATTTGGTAACTCTGAAGAGAGCTGCTACGCAGAGCTGATCTAAGAGAATTTCTACTACTTTGGACCTGCACATGGTCTAAAAGAGAGGGTCACTGGAGAAAGCAATCACAGGAAGCTCTGCGTATATGAAAGAGGTCATCAATACTGCCCTGGTTCAGAGCAGTTCAAAACAACTGGTAATATGCATTAAATCACTCCACTGGTTTGACTAACAATCTTTAACATAATTAATCCCCAGCCATAGCAGAGTGTTTGTACTCCTTGCTTTGCCTTTTTCAATTGCACTTAAAAAAAAAAAAAAGAAAAACACAAGTGGAAATGTGTTTGATTTCTAATATTTTCCATGTAAATTCCTTAGCAACTTGTGGGATTTTTTTTACCCCTGCTTTTCCATGAAGGCATGCTACATGAACTATATATTGCTTATGTGAAATAAAAGCCCAGATGATCAGAAACCCACAGACGCCCCACTTTACAAAGAGCAGGTGTACACACCTGACTGAAGGCTGACATCTTGAAAACCAAATATTTAAGGCCATAGCTTGTGCTATGAAGAGCACGCACTCATCTAATCCTTGAAGGCTGAGGCAAATACCAGGCTTTGGATTAATTTGTTTTGGATTCCTGGTTCGACAGCTCTTCTCCCATACCAACATACACTCCAGGTCAGAGCACTCTGCTCTGAAAGGCCAACACCAAGACAGCTCTGCATATGAAGCAAAAACTAAAACTAAAAATTACTCAGTAACTTCCCTTCTATGACTTTTTTTCCTCTTTGCTGTGTCTTTGCCAAGTTAGTATACTGAAGTTTTCCCAGATGTCTATAATGAGTGCAGCATTTTTGGAAAATTTTAGCTATTTTGGAAGAGTTCAACTGTTTCTCAGAAGATGGCTGAGGAAGAAGAGAATTCCCATCACCATGTTTTAAAAAAAGTAAAACCCAGTCACTAAAAACCCCCTGGAATTAGGAAAAAGATGTTTTGGGTCAGTTTTAGGCTGTCTTTGGGTATTTCTTGACCTAATCAAGATAATGACTCCTGAAGCTGCCTGGTGAGGCTTGCCAGAGCTCGGCAGTTAAACCTGCATCACCCCATGTGCTCTGGATATATCTCGACTCAATTCCTACAGGGTCTAAGCCTTCCTCACACTTCCTCCTCCCCCCCCCCGCCCCAATTGTGAATTGCTATATTTAAGGGCACAAGAACAGAGATAAGGAAGCATCTCCCATGCTCACTTCCAGACACCCAAGAGAGGGGGTAATCTCTTTCCTACTAAGGGAAAGACCCAGAAGGGTAAGGCTGGAGGTTCACAGGCTGCACCACACCTTCATTAAGAGAAATTCAAGACTGATGATGAGAAACTAAAGACTGGGAAACAAGGAAGAAGATGGGAGAAACTAGACAGGGAAAGACAACTGGAGAAAAGAGTCCAGAAGAATATATAGTGAAAGGAAAAAGTCCACAACAGAGGGCAGGAGCAACACCTGGGTCTGTGCATTTGCCCTTCAAAGGCAGCAGAGAACAGTTAGAAGGCAGTGAAGTGAAGGATCTAAGTTGTAGAATAATGGAAACAGTCTGCAAAACAGAAGCATGAAACCTCCTATCAGAAGACACCCTGCTCCAGTCTGGAGCACAACACAAGGCTGGATCCCAGCATCAACACTCACCTCCTGCCTTCGCAGCACACTGAGGCATGATATTTAAGAAATGCATATTTTATCATTGGACCACCAAAGTATAACCTGAGACTGCCACCAAGCTGTCAGTTTTACCAGCATCCCAGATAGGTAGGTAGTTCACACAGCAGTTATCTAAGAGTTAGTGTTTCCAGATATCTTTTTCAGTTGGCTCATTTAAAGAAAAAACAAAACAAAACAAACAAACAAACAAAAAACAAACCCCCAAACTCCCCCACTAAATAGAAAGTTCTTAAAAGGATTGTATTTGCAAAGTCAAACATAAGGCAGTAAAAGTCTAAGTTGACATTGTCTGTGCAACCTTTAACTTTTATGGTACAAAGATACCTAAAATATTTTAAATTGGAAGATGTAATGCTTTAAGATTTAGAAAAAAGTGGCTAAGTATAACTGAAATTACTTCATTAGTTCAAACAAACTTCCTCATTTGAAGCAGGTTATGTACCAGAGGAAGGCATTAATCTATGTGTTGCTTCATTTAACATGAAAAGAACCAGGTCAATAACCTCTAATGAAAAATGGAAAAAGCATTATTTTGCAATACAAATACTAGAAGTTCCCTTTTTTTGCTGTGACAGAGAAATGAAACAACGTCAGCTACTTTTCTGAAAAGAGGAACTTTGCCAGTGTTTTTGATTTACAGGGCTCTCGAGTTTGCCGAAATTGTTAAAAATTCAGACAGGAAACTGTTTCTTTGTTTTAGTCTCAAAGGATGAGACTATATTTTAATATCCAAGTCATGTTTGAGTTTCTAAGAAAAAAAAAAAATCTACTGCTAGAAAAGTGTAACTGTTTACCACTCATGCTTGGATACATCTCACTGACAGACAGCCAAGAAATTCAAACACATGACATCACAGCTTTAACTCCAGTTTCTGGTGTTAATTTTTAACTTGTTCAGCATCGAGTTGCAGAAACCAAAAGCATCTGAAGATGTCATTATTTTTTACTTGGATTTTGCTGTCATAACCTCACTTTCCCAACCAGTTAAGCAGTAAACTAAAGAAGCCTCTGCTACAAACCATAGGTTCTCTGGTTAGCTGTACATTTAAGCCTGATCAGTGGACCGTGGTACACTGGTAACATACCTATTTGGAAAGATACCTGCTTTTCAGATTACTTGAGACATTCAGAACACAGCAAGGGGAGGCAGAGGGCATTTTTGCCCATTTTCCTCCTCGTACTGCTTTTTACTTTACCAAAACTTAATTTTCACGTTAGCCTCTCTATCCCTCACCTACTTTTAATATATTTCATATCATGGGAGAGAAGGGACCGCAAGAAGTAAAGAATAAAGCATGCATCCCAATTGCTATGCAATTAATGGTTTCGGCCAGAGGCACGTGCCTCTGCCTCTAAGCCACAGCAAAGCAATTCTGGACCCTTGTGTAGATGTTGCCCCATGCACGCACATAACTGCCGCCCCATGAATGTAGTGGTATCAAGACAGGCGGAAAGTCTTGGCTGGAGTCAGCTTTCTGGTACTGTTCTACCTAAATTGTGCAGCACAACTTTAAATAAGACCCTTAGGTGTTGACATCTGTCTTAGCTCCTTTGACTTTCCCAGAATAATAGATATGTGTCTGAAGTTCCTAGGGGAGAAACCTAGCCCATTGCAGCGCACAGGAACTACTGAAAGGGCCACCCAGAAATCCAACTGACGGGCAGACCAGTGCCCAGAGGATTACAGTAACACCACTCTGGCACACGACGACCAGCCAAGCTAAACCAGCCTAAAGGGTCAGTCAGCTTGGTCAACACTTTGTTAAAGCAGGCCCTTTTCTCCTCCTCACCTCCACACTGCAGCCAGGCCAACTGCTTCATGGGGACTTTATAATGGCTGACTGGCTTTCCATCTTTCCTTCCACAAAGGCCAAAGTCAGCCAGGACTTAAGTGGTGTGAACTTCACACCAGAGCTGGACTTTTAAGAGTCTGCACAAATCCTAACATTTAAGTTCAACACACAAGTGGCATTAGTTTCCCATGTCCTTTCACTTAATCTAGGAAGCAAACCACTTGTTCTCTTTTAACCTCTTTTCTGCTAAACAATCATGTATGGGAGCACTACTTATTTGCAGCCTCTAGCATTCTAACCTAACAGGAAAGTGTCAGGGCTCAGAAAACATCCCAGGCCATGCCAGGGACAAGTTACCTACTGCACTGCCCCAGGACTGCGTCATCACCATACACTGTGCTGCTGAGCAAGGCACTGGGACTGCATCTCATCTTCATCCCCTCCTGCCTACCTCTTCCACCAGGTAGAAAAGGATGGTAGTATATTACTATCTTTCTAAAATTCAGCTGGAAACTAATTTGTCCCTTTCTTAAATCTGTAAGGTCAAACAAGACTTCTTGTTCTCCAGGGGAAAGGGTTCTATCACAGAGGGTACTTTATCAGCACCAAGTTTCTAATTCTCGATCAGCTGCACACGGCTGCCATCTCCTGGCACAAATATGATTTCCTGTGGTCTCAGGGCAGTCTCCATTATTAATAGAGCAGCGCCTATCAAAGCAGTTATAGGCAGACCCATGCAGTTCTCCAAAATACATCCTATGTAGAGTTCCCTTGTTTGCGTGATGTCCTTCCCTTAATAGGGAAGTTAACCATCTATTTTCTGTCAACTATGCCAAACAAATGACAGTTTAAGTTACTGCTTACTAGCAAGGGTGGGTAAATCTCCCAAAAAAATACAGCTAAACACTCAAAACTATGGTCCAGCCAACTGCCCTTTGGCAGCTACTGGTCTAGAAATGGTATCAGAGCCTTTCCAGCTGTTCTGCCTTTTTGGTCACATTAATGATGTTTGCAAGTACAGCTTAGGTGAAGGGCAAGCCTGGAATGGGTATGGTGTCACCCCTTTCTCCCTTCAGGGGCAACTCATCAGCCAGGCTCATGGAGTCTCATTACTGAACCAGATTAGTCTTGCTAAAGGAGTAAGTGCATATTCTTGGATGCTTCCACCAACTGCTTCCCAGACTTGATGGAGGAGGGTAAACTGCTATCTCAAAACTAGTTTCCAGTTGGCCAGGAGCTGGGGCACATGCTAGAATTCAGTCCTGTGCTACTGCTGACAACTGAAGAGGCCTTGTGGCAGAGGTAACAGTTGACTGCACTCCCAGAAGTTGCCTTCTGATACAGGCAGGGTGTACACAATTCCTCTTCACTTATTTGATCAGCAGCACATGCCTGTCACTTGCTGGATGACAAGGTTTGAAGGAAACACCCAGCTGTGCTCCCTCAACAGAAGAGGTGCAGGCAGCAGGCTCAGGATGCCAGGACCTACAACGAGAGCTGTTAGAGTCAGTTCGGTTGACCTGGTCGCAGCCAGGCTTCAGAAGATGCTTTGGAATCCACTCAAGTGGAGATCAGACAAGGGATATCCTCACATCAGCCATCGCAGAGGCTGCAGGCAGATCTTGGTAGACTTCGCCCAGCCAGCGTAAGCAGACTCCAAGGAGCATTCTTACCTGTGTACTGCTGGCCAGAACTCATCTCCTGCTCCCCTGCACACCACACCTTGGACAGCCTATGCACACTGCTGGTTATGCAGAGGCTGTGCCTGCCCTGCTTGCCGAGGTGTATTGGTACAGCTGTTCCTTATACACCACCATTGGGCAGAAATCTCCTTCTGTCGTGAGAGGTGCCAAATGGAAAACTGCACAACACCTATTCCAGGTACCTTTTTAAGGTTGTTACACAACTCTCACATGGGAGCAACCAGTCAGGTTGAGCTTAGAAATATCACTAGGATGCAGTATCTCAAGATCATTAATGACACAACTGCACTGGAATTGGTTTTGTTGTTGACTTCACACCATGTGTTGCATTACCTGTTGCTAGCAATATGACCTTCACAGAACCTGACTACATGAAAGTGATGCTTCTTTCTGGTGTGCTAGCCAAACACCTGGAAGGTGCATTTAAAGACAGTTTTAAAGGACAGAAACAGATTAATATGGCACCAAAAAACCCCAAACTGTGATTTCCTCATGTTTGCTGTTAGTCAGAGCTGAGATACTGTAAATCGCTGCTGAAGTGCCTGTCTCCAGCTGGAAGCACGCTACCTTCAGTGAGAAGAGTTCACAAGCATTTCTGGGAGTCTTGTTAATTTTTTTGCTAACCTAGAAAGCACCTGCTACCTATTGCCACAAGTAGTTCACTAAATTTTTCTGAAAACAGCACCAGTCCCTAAGAATGACCAGTTCTTACAAAGACTGAAAGTGGTTTTACATAAGATTGTTGTTTCCTATCCTATCACAGGTCAGTGGGATACAAATTCTGGTTAGCACAATTAGAGAACAGGACAAAGCAACCTTTCAAGTCCCCAAGAGCACAAACAATTTACATATGAAAAGCACACTGAAGGGTTTGTAGAGTGTGTATTGTTTTAATTCCACTCTATTTATCTTCCCCCCACTCAACTACTAAAACTTCCACATGATAACATATGTGGTCTTTAACAATCACCAATTCACAATTCTCCAGCACTTCTGGCGACAAGTATCCTCAAACATGAAGGTACTTGCAGCCCAAAAGTATTAAGTATTGTCCAGGATTTACAGACAAATGTTTATAATCATGCTACTTACCATTTACAGGTCTCCTTACATGTCTCCTCAAAACAGAAGCAAACACATTCAGAAGACTAGCAGGATCCCATTTATCCCAGTTTTTTAGACAACATTAGCTTTGTTTGGATAGATGTATAAAGTGCATTTGGTTTAGCACCACCCACTAAAGACTCCATAACTTAAAAACATAACAGGGACATTATCAAGAGCCAAAAGACAGGGAAATGTCTTAGTACAATAGGAAGATAAGTTTATATTGACTAGATAAATTCTTTCTTTTCAAAATAGCAGCTGCTGTATCAGGCAACACTATTCCATATCCTACTGGGCTGACAAAGACCTCGATACCTACTTGCAGAGCAATCAGAGAGCTTTAGGCTGGGTCCTAGCAGCATCAGTACATTTTCTTCACCAGCCTGCACTACCACCTTCTTCAATAAAACAAGATGTTCTCAATACCTAGAACACCTCTAGCAAGCATCAAACAAGTTCTACAGGACTATGCCCGATTAGCACAGTTGCCACTTGAAGAGTAACATTTCCCCAGTGTGCAGTTGCATACTGACCTGATGTTCAGCCACGACAACATGGGAGTTGTACCTCCACCGACAATCCACACAGTGAAAAAGACAATAAGGAGAGTTGTTGAGAACATCATTTGATGTGAGTAGGTAGCAGTATCTCGTATAGCCAGAGCAAACGCCATGGCTCCCCTGAGACCTATGGGAAAGAATGAAATAGCAGAGCTTCAGGAGTGCAACTGTGCCTATTTATAACACAGCACCTTTCCTTGCCCCACCCCCTGCCACACAGGCACAAAGTGACAGGCAGAAAGCAATGGGCTCCGGCAAGTTTTAATTCCCTCCATTGCCCTGGGATGATTTAGAACATAATTTGCCCCCATAGTTTTCTGTAACTTATAGAATCCACTAGTGCTAACAAAAGGTATAAATATTTCCAGAAACTAACAAGAAAAATGCAGAAACAAACAAGTTGTGGACAACAGCAAAACATACTATGGACATCAAGCAGCTCCCTGAATCCAAACGAAAATGCACACTTCTCCAGTTGATTCCATATTGGAAGCATGAGTTCTTGGCATGAAATTGTTATCAGCTGGAAAAATATTCTAGTTAATAACATGTTCGCAGGCAGATTATATTCCCCCTTCCTCCCCTGCCCTTGTTTCTATTATGAAACTCCATTAGCAAGGACAAGCCATGGCATCTGGCCATCTGCAGACTTCTTAAGTAGGGGAATCACAGAATCACAGGATGGTTAAGGTTGGAAGGGACTTCTAGAAGTCATCTGATCCAACTCCCCTGCTCAAGCAGAGTCACCTGGAGTAGGTTGCCCAGGACCATGTCCAGGTGGCTTTTGAATATCTCCAAAGAAAGAGATGCCACAACTTCTCTGGGCAATCTGTTTCAGTGCTTGGACATAGTAAAAAGTGTTTCTTGATGTTTGCAGGGAACCTCCTGTGTTTCAGTTTGTGCCCACTGCCTCTGTTCCTGTTGCTGGACACTGCTGGAAATAGCTTGTCTCCCTCTTCTTTACACCTTCTTGTGTACAAGAGGCATCCCTGGCACTTCTTTGGGATGAAGATGTTTAGACAAACAGACATACACTCCATGATTTGCTTTAAATGACAAACAGTTATTTGTGTGACAGAAATTGTAAAGGATTTTAAGTTAAATACCTTGCTTTCTCCAACTAAGTGGGAGAGGGCACCCATAAATATACCTTGATTTTCTCAGGAGATATCTGTTTCTGCATGTGTACATCATCTCAGCTAGAAATAACCTCCTGGAAGAGATACGTCCTAGTTCCTCCCATCCCCTTCAGATGCATTTCAAATGAAAATACTCTACTCCCAATGTGAGGTGACTGCTTGCTGCCAGCAGCTGGCATTTCAAGATGTCACTCTTCCCAGACACAACAGACTTTCTGTAAAGGTTGCAAGACACATGATAGCACACTGCAACAACCATTCAGGATGCATGGAAGTGGATTATAAAAGCAGAAGGTGGTGCTATAAATTGCTTATGAGTTAAAAATACATTTTTTTGCTTTACCCAACATTTTTGCTTTTACCTGAGAACATCATCATGTGCTGAAAGTTCCAGCTAATCTTATGCCTTCTGCCCAGATTCAACAAGAAGGAGAGAGGGTAGATGTGTGCAGCTCTGCCCAAAAAGATTGCAATCTGTTCACAGCTGAGGGTTAAGGATTTCACTTTCCTGAGGTATGCACTCTTGGGCTCTAACATGAAGCTTCTATTTTAGTGAGAGGTTTACATCAAAATATCAAGTGTTCTTGTTATCTCTGTCTATATAAGACTTTCATCAATTATGTGTATACTGAACTCATTGCACAGAATGTAAATTTTAACTCATATAACCAAGTTTTTTAATGCACAGTGAAATTATATCTAAGTACTAAGATTACCAGTTGTACAAATGAAGACTTTACTTAAAAAATTCACACCTTAAACAAATATCACCACCACCATTCAATTAGGGGTTTCACACCAACAGAAATGTGTTCCTATGCACAGAAGGAAAGCCAACATAAGATCAGCAAGTGGCCGCTCCATTATGGCTCCTGCAAAGGCAAAATCTCCTACTGGCTGGCAAACACTTAAGAGTACAGAGGTACTAAGATGATAAAGCTAAAAACCACTTGTCAGCACTAGAATGAAGTTCAAGAAGAGAAGTAAAAGAGTATTGCAGAAATTCATGACAGTAGGTGATAAGCTCATTCTGTCCCCTGTTGTGCTGTAAAACATCCAATGGTTCCAGTGAAGAAGCAGAAAGCTGAATACACCCTCTGCTGCCTATGGAACACTTTGGGACAAACTAGAGTGATGTGCTGAAATCCTATAAAACACCAACACAACCAGAAGTCCACCAAACACTGATCATTTGCTGCTAGGATAGCAACATTAGAAAAATGAAACAGCTCTCTTATGGAAAAGAAATAAACCCATATAAAAGCTCTAGACACCACTGGGTTGTTGCCATAGCTAAAGTAAAGCAAAACTGTCTGCAGGAAATTATGACTCTAGGAAAATAAGATTTTGATTATTACTTTGTACAAAAAGCTTGATGTAATTATTTCAAACAACTTTTACAGCAGTCCTTTTGAGGACTGCAGAAATCAGACATCAGAAGCCATTGTGACCAATGTACATAGGAATAATGGCTAGGATTTTGCCAATGACACTGAGGTTTTAGCTCTGCCTTTGCAGTCCAACCTTTCTCTTTCAAGAGCTGATGTCTCTACATTTCACCCCCACAAGGTGTTAATCCAATGGGTACAGTAGCTGTTGAGGCAAAATGTGGGTGCTAGTACTAGCTGCCTTCCTCACAAAGTAGAAAAAACACTCAAGAGGTAACAGGGGTTAAATGCAGTGGTAGAAAAAGATGTGAAAAATGTAGTAAAAAGTAGGTGGGTAGGAAGAGAAAGGAACAACGTAAATACTGAAAAAAACTCCTAAAACATATAGCAAAACCTGAAAGAGGACAGAAGGCCACAGCAAAGATGAAAAATTACAGTGCTTAGTACACCAGATACAATTACTCTGTTCATGTCTTTATTCAAAGGCTGCAGGGCTCTGGAGCATTTTTTAGGTCAAAAGAACAAATGTGAGGAGACACAGGAGAAAATTTATTACTGTTTCAGAAAAAAGTAAATGGCTAAAGGAAAACAAAGACAAATGTGATAAATCCCTAGAAGCAGTAGAGAGATGAGAGAAAACAGTAGAAAGAAGGACAGAAAATAAATACGTTCCAGACTAGGCCATCTTGATATGTCCTTTCATCGGGTTTTATCTCCATTGCCAATAGCCCGACTCCTGCAGCAGGCAGAGAGAAATCAATACTGGAAGACTAGTTCCCATTGCTGCATGCACACTTTCAATTGCTCTGAATTTTCAAGCAGCCAGGAATGTAGTGAAGTAATAGTTATACAAGCCATTTCAACAGGGGTGGGATACAGAGAAGAATCTAGTGATTCCTAGCTTACACGAGTGTGACTACTACAAAAGTGTTCAGTTCTGGGGAATTCGAGAGCTAGGTACCAAGTCAGGCAGGGACAATGGGAACCAGATACTCACCTCCAGCACCAGCACCTTTCAGCAGCGTGTACCCTTCGTGCAACAGTCTGCATCACAGCTCAGTTCCTTCCTCCTCCCATCACCTGTGATCCTGACCTCTACCTTTGGGGCACTGCTCAAAGATAATCTGTTCACCCACAATCCTCTTTACTTGAAGTTTGTTTGCTTTCTTCAAGGCACCATTGGAAATGAAGAAAAAATAAATCCTTTTCTAGGTCTCCAAAGTTCAAATATAAGAGCAACACAAGTACTGCTGGCTGTCAATAGCCAAGTGTCCTGGTTTTTAGCTGGAACAGAGCTGGGTTTCTTTTTCAGTAGTTAAATAGTGCTGCATTTTGCTTTTCAGCCTGGGATTTGTTATGAGAGACACACTGATAGCATACCAGCGTTTGCATTTTTGTTGCTGGAAGCCAAGGACTTTGTGTTCTGTTAGTCTACAAGCGCAAGATCTAAGGGGGTGAGGAATATTTAAATTAATAAGCTAAACTGGCATTTGGATATGCCAATGGGATATTCCATATCATATCACATCATGTCCAGTATATTAGTGAGGGGCTCTTCCTCTTTTGCTCTCTCTGGCTTTCTCTCGGTCTCTCGCTCTTCTGGGATTGCGGTTTCGGTTCGGGATTGTCGCTCCTCCGGGATCGTTATCTGGGAACGGGCCGGGCTCGGTCAGGAGGGGGGTGAACAGTTGCACTGGGTATCACTCATTTGCATATTTTGTTAGTGTTATCACTATCAGTACTATTTTAATATTAGTACTATTTTAAGTTTTCTTTTATTTCTATTGTTAAACTGTTCTTATCTCAACCTATGGGTGTCCTTATCCTTGCACCCCAATCCTCTCCCCTGTCCCTTGGGGATGGGGGGAAAGGGGGTGAACAGCTGTGTTGGCTGGTAGTCAAGGGCTAGCCCAGGGAAACTATCACACCAAGTCACACAGTAAAGCATATTAATTTGTTTATCTATTGAAATTATATTCTAGCACTTGCTTAGGTACAGAGCCAACAGCTGTGTGGCACAGAGGCCTTAGGGCTTTGATGTAATGGGTAGCCAAAGATTATCCTCAAAATTATTGTGCCTGCAAGAAATCAGGGAAAATCAGGTCAGCCATTGTCCTCTATTTGGTAAAGCCAACAGACACCACAAGTTTTCAGGCACATAAAATAACGGAGAAACCTCACACAAAGCAAAAAAGGATACAAAAGCTCCAATTATGAAAATTGGGCTGAATATGTGTTTCTGGAAAGTAAACAGTGCCAAGCCCATATAAGAAAATATGAAGTTCTCAGCCAGGAAGTGCAATACTTCAAAGAGCTAGGGAGAAAACAGTTACATGTTAAAGGTCAAGTAATAAATATGCTTTTCAAAAACAATAGTACATGGCCTACTACAGCAATATACTGTATAAAAAGATGAAAAACAGTCTTGCCTGCTTAGTGCGGCTTCTTGATTCAACTGACAAGTTATTGTATGTATAATGCGCCTGAGTAATGCCACAGAAGAGAACAGCCACCACACCTGTGAACAGAATCACACGGAAGAATCAGCCTGCTTACTGTGTGAGCTCAGCATATTTTCCCTTCCCAAGTTCTATTAAATTTATACATCATCCTTAACCTTGAGATTTTATGAACCTTATTTTCAAGTGAGTTAGATTCCAGGTTGGGGAGGCAGCGTTTGAACCAAACCATTGCTCTGACAAGCCTTTGTTGCACAGTCAGCAGCACCTTCAGTGACATCGTACAGAACGTAAAAAAGCTTTAAGTACAAGCATCATGTTTCTCATAGGAAAGGTTCAATGCAAAAGTGGGAAAACGGCTGCCAAAATGGGCAGGACTTCTGTCTCCATGTGCTTGAATCCCAGCAACTCACCGGTAAATCCACAAGCTTCTGCGAGCAAGAAAGTGCTCCAGGACATCAAGAAGAAGAGAGCCGTTTCCAGCAGGGGGAAGCAGTGCAACTTGGTAAACTTTGTCACGTTAAGTCATTTGTTAAGGGATCCAAAAAATAAATCTTTTGCCTTCTCTGTACCTAGTGTTTATGAAAAATACTTTTATGTACTAACAACCAACGCTAGTTGGAAAACAAAACACTTAATGCTGAAAAACATCAATTCTATCACATCAAGACAAACTTCAGAATGAAGGTCTCCCCTTGCAACAGTCATTTTTGGCTATTTTTGCTGCATATCCATGGCATGACTGTGGCTCCATCTCTTTGAGGCAATATCTTACTCTATGCCCTGTTTCCCTGCAAAGTGTCAGCAGGGAAGGGATATATACTCAGCATTCCTTTTAGATTATGTATGGTGGGTTTTTGGTTTGGGGGTTTGGTTTTCCCTCCACCCAATAAAGATCCCTCCCCATCTTTAAACAAAGCATAAAATACATTCAGAAGTATTTAATTCACAGGGTTGTTCTTGACTACAGCAACCTTAAGATAAAGTAGATATATCAGATGACTTCTGCTCAGATTTGTTGACAAGTCTTTTTTCAGCAAGTGAGGCAGAACAGAAATCCTGCTTACAACAAAATATATTTCCTCTCTTAGCGTTGATGTGTTTTAGAGTAAAAGCCAACTGAATCACAGCCGCTCAGTCTTTCAATGGGAAGAAAAGAATAAGTTCGTCTTCCAGAAGACAGTAAAATTTGAGGAACATCAAACACACACTGTTTTAACAGTTCAAACAGCTACTGAAGTGGAACAAATTTCAGTAGTGTTAAATATGGCTCTTCACATACTACAAAAGAGTTGTCCACATATTTAGAGAGCTTCTTTTTCCCCTCATCACTGCTCTGGCAGCCGGTAAACACTGTACAGCTCACTGTATCTGAGGTGCAGACAGCTATGTGCAACTGTACTGGAAGACACAGAAAGAAACCACATGATAACAGGGGTGGTAGAGAGACCCCCCATCTTTCTGAAAGCTGACAACTAGTACAATCTTCTCTGAAGTTCAAGAGGAAGGACAGCAAGAGCACAGCAAGGACACTTGAAACAGCAGTGGTAGCTCTCTCTCCTGTCCATATGAAGGCAATTGGTACCTCGATGGACACATTACGGCTGCACCATCATCCACCATTGCTCTCCATGCATAACACAGCTGCACCCTGGGCTCTCTGCAGCATTACACAATCTAAAGCTAATGGCAGCACTGCTGCTTGGAGAGTCATGGCTCAATACAGGACAGGGATGTTAAAAGCAATGAGGAGCACCGTTTTCAAAGGAAATTCATAGGTTCTGGGAGGTTTGGGGCTCACAGCACTCTTGGCTGCCTCTTGCAAGCAGCAGTCAGGTAGCCCAAAAGAGTCAGGGGAAACAACCTGCTGTGGGCTTTAGCACAGAATAAGGCATTCACAACAAGCCACAAGTGATTAACACCAGAGGCAAATAGCTAGCAGCGTTTCAGTGGGAGCTTGGTTAGGATGAAGCAATCCTGAGGCCAGCCACCTGCCAGTGATTTCTGTGGGTACTTGTATATCTTTCTATGGACAAAGGTTACATGAATACTGATCACATCTTCACACTCAGATTAAAACAAGCTAGTGTCAACGTTGCTCTGGTTGGAAACAGGTGAGCCCTGTTAGTACCTGGATGTGGCAACTCATCTGGAAGAGCTAAATGCTAAAAAGGATATCAGAGCTGTCACAACCCCCGTCACTGCTCCCATCATGAAAGAACCACTGAATATTCCCAGGAAAACACCAACAGACTTGAAAAACGCTGCTGCATCAAAAGCATGGGTATTTTCACCTGTTGGCTGGTAAGCAACTATCGATCTAGAAAGAGAGCAACACAATGAGAAGTTAGAAGTGGCATCAGAAAAGTTTTATTCCATAGCAGCAGCACCTGAGCAACAGAAGAAGCAATCCCATACTGAAGGCAAATTTTCCATTCTGGTGTATGTATGCACGAGGGATCTTGGCAAATGTTTGCAATGTTTATTAATTCACTTCAAGACAATTTAAATGGTTAAATTCAAAATAACATTTCTCAGAAAAAAAACCACATTTATTTCATACAAATACCAAAAGCAACTAAGTAATTTCAAAGTAGAAATTCAGGTAGTTACTTACGAAGACAATACAATGGCAACAGCGTCATTCAACACACTCTCTCCAAACAAGAGGGCATAGAGATCGACATCGGCGTGTAGCTCATTGAATATCGCTAGCACAGTAACTACAGAAAGAAAAGAGAAAAGCCACAGAGGCTGACTTCAGGAACAACTGTGTGAGCTGACAGAGCAGACTTTCCAGTTTGCCTAAAGCAACAAAACCCAGAAATTGAAGTACAGGATCAAAATTAAAATGGGAAACAGCCTAGTCATGGTTATCTATAGGTAAACAATTCCACCATCACTTTTAGGGCAGCTCCTTTAGGAGGCGGCTCCCATCTGCACAGGAAAGGCCCCATGATCAAGGGGCACAGGGCAGACAAAGCATTTCTACCAAAGCCCTGATATTTGTGGCTCTGTTGTCCTCCCATCTGCACAGGAAAGGCCCCATGATCAAGGGGCACAGGGCAGACAAAGCATTTCTACCAAAGCCCTGATATTTTTTGTAGAACATGTTCCATAGAAGATAATCAACAAAACATTGTGCATCTCTTGCTACTTTTAAAGGCTGTATGGATTGTTGACATAGCTTTATTATTTCAGCCATTGCAAAATAGTGCTAATAACCTTAAGTGTTGCCCAAAGCACACGCTATGCCACAGGAGTGTGTGCTTATGCAGAACTTCAAAAGGGCAAGACTGATAAATATTTATAACCTCCTTTCAAGAAACTTCAGTCTGAGATGAAAGACCATGATCTTGAAGATGCTCTCATATGTGAGCTTCAAAAAAAAAAAAAAAAAAAAAAAAAAAAATCACATGGTGATTTTTTGTATAAATTGTGTGTAACCACCAGCTGTTCAGAGCTCAGCTCAATCACAGGAGCTACTTCCCATTTTTGCACAGATCACCACTGAGCACCTCAAATTAGCTGTTTTAAATGTCAAGCTTCATACTTCACTGCTCCCTACCCTGGCCCCTGACACACATCAGCTCTCCAGACTCACCTGTCAAGCAGAGACACCTCTGAGAGCCTGCTGGACTTCGAAGGATGACTAGATTATTTTGGCAAAACACTTAAATCACTTTGCCAGAAGAGCATTCTTCTGCTTAAACTTGTAAAACATTACGTTCATTTGAAAGAGAAAAAAAAAAATTCCCCAACACCTAAAGAGCCTAAAAGCCTCAAATACTGCTTTTAAATTATCCAATGTCCCAAGCAAAGTCCCAAGTCCTGCCAGCCAGACAATGTAGTAATTTCATCTATTTGCAGTCTTAAACTCAATGCACACTAAAAAAAACCCCTTACTGGTTTGTACTAAAAAAATAAAAATATTTAAAGTATTTGAGCAGAAAAGTTACATTTTTCCCCAAACATGCCATTACAGCATACCAGTCCAGCACCAAACCAAAACAGAACAGTTTTCACAACACAGTATTTGCATGCATTTCAGAGAAGAGGATCAGAGACACTAGCATAAAACAACTGCAAATAATGTGCTGTTAATATCTTTGTGCTATGCAGCCAAAAATCCTAGCAATAGGATTATTCTGGAAAGTTATTAAAAAGTGTTCAGCAAGCTACCTGGATCAGTGGCAGATATTATCGCTCCAAAGAGGAGGCAGTCTGTATAATAGAATTTATCAGAGAGTTGACCCACCAACTTCATTAGTTTCACAACCCCATACATGAGATTCCTGAAGAAAAAGAGGATAAAATAGTCCAAGTCAAACAAGTTGGTGCATTTCAGAGAAGCAAAGGAAAAGCACAAGCAACAAGATTTCAGGCAGGCTTGGTTATGCTACAGCTCTGTGGGACACTGCTACAGTTCAACACTAAGCTCTCAAAATTAATTTTTCTCTTTTCCCTATGAACCAAGTCAAGTGATATATGATCCAGAAGATATAATTTAAAACCAGTAAGCAAAGTATTAAATCTGTTCACACAACTAGCACACAGAATCTACAGGTCATTTGCTTTTTTTCACCAAAGGGAACATTTCCCTGTTCAAATGTCCTCTCAGTATTGCTTTTCCCAACACAGTATGCAGGACAAAAGCTCTGAGCTAAGAATAGCCTTCAAAGTATTTCTCTAGTGAAATTCCTTGAGAGACAAACCAAGGTCACCTATGCAATTCAGGATTTCTGTATTTCAGAATATTCATACATCAAACAGTAATATTAGCAGCGTAAGAGATTGCATGCAAGTAAACCAATGTGACTAGTGATCTTAAACTAAATGTTTGTTTATATATACACATAAAATTATATATATACAAATATGCAGAGAAGGAAAGAGAGAGCATGCATGTGGGCACTGAAAGGGACATCTCTAAAAGTCTGGTAGCTAAAATTGTATTACAAGTAGTGTCCACAATTCAAGTTGAAGTCAATTCCAGTAAAAGTCTAACAAGACTTTGTCTTGGACTGGACCATTACATCAAAAACTCAATGCTGCTCTTTAGCACTGTGGACTTGTAAAGTGATTCAAACTTGACAATACCATTTCAAGGTACAGTATTGTTTAGAAACAGGATAAATCTCAGCAAAAGTTATACTTGCTTTTTGTCTGGAGGACAATAAAATCCTCACACAAATAAAATCCTCAAACAAACGAAAAACAAATCTGAGGCAATCTGGAAGGCTCAATATACGCTTTATCGACTTAAACTTTAGCACAAAAAGGAACTGATACCACGGAGATCACTTACCCAATAATAAAACAGGAAACTGCTGTTCCTAAAAATGCATAAGCCAAAATGGACCCCAAATTCCTGAAAAAGTGTCTCTGCATAGGAAAGAGAGGTTTACATACTTACTTAAAACAAGTTATATCACCTGTTCAAAAACACACAGCACACTACTACACTTGCATTAATACACTCAAACACTCCTCCACTTCAGAGGAATGCTTCAATTACTGCAATGTATATTCTCTCCAAATTCAATAAATTGAATAAACCAAATCTGAACTATGCATTAAATCCTGCATGTAGCTTATTGACAGGAAGCTTTCCACACAGACGTTTTCGTAAGAGATGTAAGAGTTAGCTACAAAACAGAAAACCAGCACCAATTCATGGTATCTTCAAGCAAGAGCAGAATCTGCGCCCTTTTGCCATTCAGAGTCTGGCACATGCCACTGGGATTCAGGTTTGGGTTCACTTCTCAGCATAATTTACTGCATTTGGATATTTGAGAAGGACCAAACAGTTCATAGCAGGACATCTTTTACTTTAAATGAAATTGATGTTAACCTCTGGTAAAGTTCAAAGGAAAACAAATCAGCAAGATTAAATAGAGCTTAATGTGTTTATAGTAAGAGTACATGTATTTTCTCTTAAAACAATATGACCTAACCACCTATGGAGGAAATGAGATTTTTCTTACTGTCATTAAGAAAAAAAAAAAAAGCTTGAAGTGGAGATCACACTCCTGAACAAGTCAGTGGTCTCACATTTAAAAAAAAAAAAAAAAAAGGGGGGGGGGGGCTATGCCCCTCAGACATGATTGTACTTACTTTCTTCAGGCTATAACCAGCATGAAAAATAATAGGAGGCAACAGAATGTTGAAAAAAACTTCTGGATCAAATGTTACCTAAAAAATAAAACATGAAACTTCAATTAGAAACAGACATACACAAACCATTAAGTCTTTTTTTTCTTTCGTTTTCTGACAAATACTATTTTTAGTTGTTGAAATGGCTGAGTTGACCCTCCAAAATACTGGCCAGCTCTATGCACAGGCAGCAGCAAAAAGCTGCAGCTCTTCTTGGTAAACAGCATCTAGAAAAAACCCAGCATTACACCTATCAATAATGATAATCTTGCAGCAGTCCCAAACACAGTCCACTTCTTCAAATTAAAAATGTCTGTAGAAGTGATGCTGGAGAAGATGTCTCTTATTGTGGTACTTGATATTCAAGTATCTGCAGATGAAATGCTATTTTAGCTTTTTTTCCCCCTCCCCCCCCTCACATCTGGCCACTGCACAGTTACTGGGAGCCAATCAAATCAGATACAAGACTAGTTTTCAGGAACTGGGATCATACATCACCCTCATGTATTCAAGTAGAAGCTCCAGATATCCATGAAAGACTACACTACAGTAAGGAACTAAAAACAACACTTAAAATCCAAACAGAAGACCTGTACACATGTGCTCTCTTTACCCTCTGCCTAAGCACAGGTTAGAGGACAAACACAAGAACAGGATTCAATTCAGAGAAGTTTAGCTATCTATAGCAGACAGGTACATAGACACCAAAGCTCTCATCATGGTCAGCAGAAAGAAGTATTTTTATGTTACAGACCTTAAAGTCTCAATCCTATACTTCAAAGTCTAGCTTTGATACACACAAAAGATGGTTAATTCCTGACACTGAATAGAATAAGAAGCCAAATAGCAGATCTGAGTAACAGTCGATAGGTGAATTTCACTGCCAATATCAGACTGTCTCATTTGGTGGATTATAGGAATGTAAGCAGTAGCTATTTCCTGACAATAAACAGATTAAAAAACTCCAGGAAAAGAGCCACTAAGAAACAATCACTTTTCACTAAGAAATTATCATTTTTCTTATACTGTATTATACAAGGCAGCAACAGGCTTCTTTTGGTCAGCTGGTCTTCATTAATTCTACAGACATTAGAAGTGTATATTAAGTCTTCAAACAGCAAACAAGGGCTTTGGGAAAGCACCACATACACGCAATAGAGCACAGTTTTGCCAGCAGCGATATAATACAGAAGGTGCTTTTGAATTAAGCATTGAAGAGCTGTTTCTATCAGGAACACAGACATTTAATACGATCCAACATTCAAATGGGATGGAGGAGGGAAGGAAACACAGACAAAGGAGAAACACTCAGCCAAGCACAAGACGTGGTCTACCCTCACCTTTCGCAACATGTCATTTTGCTCCACATTGTGGATCTTCCCAGGGCTTATTTCCCCTTTGAGCGTATACTCAAAGAACTTCCCGCTGACGTTGACCAGCAGGGTGGTAAACGGCCTGTCCTCCTGCGAGCAGCTGAATGGCTTGTCATGGCCACTGGTAGAGGGAGTCCCGTATCTCAAGATCACCCCAACTATCAGTCCTGGAAGAGAATTAAAAATCCATGAGGCTGATTTGCTACTCCTGCACTTAACTTTCTAGTTTCAAATAACATCCAAGGTATAATGCATGAGCCTTACAAGCCTACGTGCAGCATCAACATTTTGCAGTGAATCATTACCATTAGTTTCCTGCAGAGGAAGAGAGGCGCTGAGCACATCAAAGCTACCAATGAATTTATAAAATCTGATATTTGCCTGAAGTGACAAACAAAAGACTCCATTTCGTGTTTTCTCTTCCTCACCCTCATTCACACCTCTAACACACAACCCCTGAGTTGCACAAGAGGCTAAACACTAGGACACATTAAATACATTTCACCTTCCTAAGGACAGAACTGAGTAGATACAGCACTGCTGGCAAATAAGGACTGCTGAAAATGTGTGACCATAACTGAGCTGAAACAGTCATCTTTGCCATAATATTTTACATCTGCAGCAAGGATGTAGCTTTTTTGCCTGGCAATTCTAAGCAAGCAAACAATGCTTCTTGCACAGTTTCCTGCATACTTTGCAAACTCTGCAACTAAAATTCAGATGACATGCACAAAGAAGCTGGCTACGTGTCTTTTGCCAGCAATTTCACAAAACCAAAAAAAAAAAGTAAGGTAAAAATTAGCAATCATAAGAGACTTGAGATTCAGGAACATAAGAACTCAGCCAGCCTAGATAAAAATCCAACCAGAAAACACTATCAATGTTTCATTGATATCAAGGGATGCATCAAACACACTGACAAAAAATAACTTGTAACCTAATAGAAGGGCCAGGCCAGGAGGCTGGAGAAGCACAAGGTTCTAACTAGTACAGTTCCTTTTACAATGTACTAATAAAAGAAAAAGTCTCCAGTTCCGTGGAGATTACATATAAGAACAGTCAAAGTGGTTTTGGTCTGGTAAATAAACAAACTGATACCCACTAAAGGCTTCCCTGTTGCCTTATGATGATCTGTGATTTTATCCTCGTTGCAGACAACTGCAAGGTGAAGATGGATGTTTGATCCTTTTGTTGAGAAGTCAGTAGTCAATGCTGGTTTTGCTCTCTGTGACCCTCACTCTGCATCCATAGATCTGTTTCCCTTGATGGTAAATGAAGTTGACAGGTAATAATCAGAGAATAAATGAGGTATGACAAAGAAAAAAAATCCTACCACACACCACAAAAAAACCCCAAACAGACTTATCCTTATGGTGTAGTGTAAAGAGTAACCAAACTGGTTTTTCTAGAAAAGCCAACCAAAAGAACAGACCTCATTCTCTTCAAGTTCAGAGTGGAGAAATAGTTTTAATGTAAGAGAAGGTACAGCAAGTAGTAGCTGTGACACTAGTGGGCAGCTCATCTCCAGCCATCTTTCTCTACGATCAAGAGAACATAGTGGCAACAAGATCATTAAAAAGTAACTGGAAGATTAAGACATTTTATTTAGAAAAGAGAAGTGCATACTCAGAGGGAATACAGAAACCCCCTCAACGAGATAAGTTTACTTCCTGAAATTTCAAATGCTGACAATTTAAACACAGATGTTTATACAAGCATGGTCCTAACAACCTTGGAGCATTTTACAGCAACACATGATGGATGCAGTGGAAAGACAGCTCTGCACAAAGTGACAGGTTAGGGCCAGTCACCTCCAAGCCACTTGCACTACCAATTACAGCTAGAAACATCTTTGCCAACCCAGCCAGGCCAGCAGCCAAAGCTTTCTGCTGCTCTCACACCTAGGAAGAGCTAGGCTCACAGAATACATCAGGAAGACTGTGTTAAAAACTGATCTAACCAGCATCAGCCAGAAATCCTGTAGTAAATCAGAAGCCAGTATGAAAATCGAACAGATGAGCGTACGCATAGCAGTGGCACAAAGCCAAATCTATACTGCTGCTAAGCTGAGAATAGACAGGGGGACACCGACAGACACGGCAGCTTCTCAGGCTCAGAGACTGTCCTTCAGTGAATTCACTGCAAAAGCAGATGGGAAACCCGCATTGCTATTGCATTAGCGAGATGCACCCCAGAGCAGGATGCAATTGTGTTATACCACTGGATATAATCCACTCACACGTTTTCCTCCCACAATAAAATACACCAGTTATTTTAAAACAAGTTTTGAAGATACATCAATTATATCCATAATTGATACCAGTGTTTGAAGTGAAGCATCCTTTAACCCTCAGTGTTTCACAGCCAGCTAACACAGCTACAGGGAAATATCCTGTTTTCATACACCTTCTACTAATAAAATACCAAACAGCGATCTTTGCACCAAGCATCACACCACTTAGGAACATCCAACCCCTGCTGCCAGGCTGCCATCTCACAGCAGGGTGCAACTGGGATGAGGGTGGCTCGAGGGACAAGGCAAGAGGCCAGCAGAAGCAGCAGCAATTGCTCAAGGCAAGGTGCAGTTGATTGGCTAAAGCTACATGGGGCTCAGGCATGAAAAGAAATAGATATGAAAATAAAAGGGGCCAAGGAAGCCACACAAATACCACGGACAACTTCATTAGCAAAAAATACTGGGCACTTGGTAGTTCAAAAGATGAGTTAAGACAAGGGAAAGTTCCCCAGTCTTACAAAGATACAGGCATACTGCTGTATTTATCATACAGCCCCAGAATAACAGGTTTTGAACATCAAAGTGAAATGCGTCAGCTGGACACGTTTGACAGATGTGAGCTGCAGGAATCCTGAGGTCCTTAATGCTTTTCCAAAAAAAATTTAAAGTCTTTATGGAAAACCATACATTTTCAGTTTTCTAGTGAACGTCAAGTCTTTTACACACTAACTACTGGACCTGTTACATGATTTCTACATCTCATCTCACCTGATAAAGCAATATTAACAAAGCTTCTACATATAGTCAGCCCCTAAGGTGACAAAAAAACCCTAAAACCCCAAGCACTTTTCAGGCAGATTGAACAGCCTGATTTACAGCTTCAGAAAAGATGCCCTTCTAAGCTGCCTGCCATTAAGTGTTATATGGAAGACCAGGGTATCCTCTCTAAAATTCTCTCTGGATACTTGATTTCAGCCATTTCCAGAACATCAGAGTTGCAGCTACAGAACAAAAGCAGAAAAGAGACCTGGAATTGCTCAATGGACAAACCTAGTGGGATACTCTAGACTTACTTCTAGGCTGTTAACACAGGCATAAATTCAGTACAGCTCTGGGGCTTGTTTGGAAGCAAGGGGAAGCATGGATGCTGGAGGCTAGGAACACATACAGAAGAATCAGTACACAAACTCTGTTACTTCTCCACCACAAGGTCTCACTGGTGAAGAGTTTATGGAAAACCCGGATCAACAGAGCAAATATTTATCTGGCTGCTTAAGAATATTTTACCTCTTCAAAACATAAACCTCTAGGGCTACTAATCCAGCAGTATCTTTTACTGAAAGACCACCACAAGAGATAGAAATGGCATACAAATACATCAAAATTTTATAAGAATCTTACTTTTAAAGTTTGTGTTTGTGGTAACTGTTGCAAGGGCAAGTTTACATCACTGTTCAAGGACTCCAAGGAAGGATAATCTCAAAAACTAGTATAATACTTAGTGCCCTGTACACGACTTGCATTCTCACTTTTAACAGAGAAAGCATTTATGCCAGTATGTTGCATGTACAGTGCTGATCATGCAGCTGGTACACAAAGAACATCTTACTGGAAATGAAGCATGAAAAAGCTGGGAATATTTTTTCCCTTTTAAAACAAACCTCTATTGATAATAAAAAACATTAGACTTCAGATATAGTCAACACCAATCTACACAATACATCATTTAAAATGGCATATTTACTTTTGGTTTTGTTTGAGGACAAAAGTCACTGAAGGGAGAACACAAATTCAGATAGGCACACACACAACTGCACGTGCCTGTCCTTGGTCAGGGCAGAGCTCTGCGTGGTTTCTAGCCCAATTCTCTGCTGAAGAAGCAGCCCTGAGGTTTCGGGGAGCTTCAGCAGGCAGCAGTCTGCAGGAATCAGAGGTATTGGCACTCCAATGCACACAGTTCCATCAGTGAATTCAAATTGTAAATGAGTGGACTGGATCAATTTTTCCTAATACAGAGTCAGCCTTTGAATCTCACAGCCCATACCTTCAAATCTGACAGTGATTCATGAGGAAGTTTCAACACTTCCTACGAAGTAATTTAAGCACTGTTTCTGGTCTAGAACTGAGCTGCTAATGTTGCACAGTAAAAAAAAAAAATCAGATGAAATGTAACATACCTCCTTCAGAAGTGCTAGTGACCCACTCCCTGTACCACTTGTTTGCCATTCACTGTGCTATCCCACACAGGGGTGCAGAGGGACGCTGCTATACGACCCCTCGAAGAAAGGTTAAGCAAGTGACTGCAGAGCTCCAGACCTCCGTTAGCATCTCGCACTCAGCATCATTCATCTATCAGCTACTTTCTTAATGGTGCAACGCAACCAGCATGGCATTCATCAGCCTGCCACGCCGCTGCAGAAGATGCAAGACTTGAAAAATGAGAAGCCTGTTTTGAAATTAATCCTCCTCTTTGACAGTTTATGTTCAGCAGCATAAACAAGACAAATCCTCACCGCATTTCAGTAAAATAAGCAATTTCTGACAGGGAAGGGAGGCAGGTGAAGCCAATTCTTGAAGTCTGAAGTAAATTTTGGGGATATCCAAAACCCAAAATGCTTAACAACAGGTTCAAGGTCATGCATTGTCATTGCCTTAGGGCTATTTTAGATAAGGAAGTTAAAAGATAATAAACAAGCTGGTAATTCTTCCTTGTGGGCACACATAGCAGTATGCTATCAAGGGGATCTTTGTACTAAGCATTTTATTCACTTTTTAAATAAGTCAAGCTAAGCATAGTTTTGAATTTAAATAAACAAATTACTCAGAAAACAGTTATTGGGACACTGTGCAGAACATTAACTTGCTAGCTCTGCGCTGCTGGACACCCTTGTTCACCCTTGCCTTCTCAGAAGCCTTGGGTTCCAAAAAAAA